CTTAAGAAGCTTTGAAGTAAGCAAATTACCATTTAAAAGCGTTAAATTCGATAAAAGTCGAGAGCGCCATCTGTGTAAGGGAGAAATTCGTTCAAGAAAACCACGAATTAGCGATTGGAAAACGTGAGATCGCAAATCAATCGCAAAACTGCGTACAATCTGGAAGTCGTTTTCTTACAGATCGCTAATTTGAAATTTTTGAAGCCTGAATTCGGCCCTAAAACGTGAAGATATTGATTCAAAACCCTTTTAATTGATTTGGGCCAAAGAAATTCCTCGTGTTATCTACCTAGTTCCATTGCATAGCAGCGGAATGACAGCTAGTTTCATAACTGAACCATTTTTCTTTGAAGAGCAGTCGACAGCTGGACCACTGTGACTGCAGCTCGCTTAGAGTCAATGTTAAAATGTTTCGTGATACATGAACTGCAGTAACGTGGTTTTATGCAGGGCTGAGCCCCACCTCACATGTGTCGCACAGTTACTTAGGCAACATTTCACGAATGAACTTCTTATAGGCAGTCACTTCCCCACTTCTTGGACACCTCGGTCACCAGACCTCAAGCCTTATGACTTTTGCCTATGGGGTTATCTCAAAAGCACTGTTTATGGTGATAATCTAAACAATTTCACAGAAATGAAAAATGTGATACACCGACAGTCGGTAACATTCCTCCTGACATGCTAAGAGCTGCTGTTCAGAATGCAGTAACAGGATTTAACTTGCTTTCGGAAAATACTGGACGCTACATTGAACAAGCTTTGTAACACGTTTCAGAAACGATTAAACATATTTTAAACCGATGTCTTCATGTCTTATTTCATTTAAGAATATTGTATGCAGCACCATTCCCCCCTGGTGGTGAGTTTTTTAACTCTCCCCCCCCCCAACCCCGCGAAAATAAATTCCCATAACCTCCTTTACACGATTACCAAGTTTGATAACATTTGGTCCGGTAGTTTTCCTTTTATGGCCAGTAATTTATTATTTTTAAAGTGGAACTTTAATTATAACTCCCATGTAAATTAAACTTTAAAAGTTTGGTTAAAGTCCCAGCTTTAAAAAAAAATATAAACATAAATTTTTATATTAATCCTCTTAGATGCTAATTTTTTTCCTCGCGTTATAAATTGTATAAAAAAAACGATCTTTAAATGATTTAGATTGTTTCAGCCGATATAAGAATCGGGTCACTCAGTGGTACAGAATAAACACTGCTGGACTGTTTTATTTCTTTGTGATTTAGCAAAAAATCTTTTAATTAAAATATTTATTCTTTGGACTTTGCTTTAAACTTTATTTATACTTAAAATGCCTAGAAAATGAAAAGCTGTCTTTAACTGAAACACAGTTGATGCAATTGATATTTTTAAAAAAATGACAAGAATGCAAAATTTATGGAAGTGTAACATTGAAAAATCTTAATTTTCTTGTGGTGAGCACTGAAAATAAATATAGAAGGGAAGAAGAAAATTAGGGTGAAAAGTAAGCAAAAATTTGAAGGGGAATTTGGCTTTCAGAAATACCAGGGTGTTTCGAAAAGTTGGATGCTTTTGAATATACTTTCAGAATACTTCAAGGAATTTGGGTTTTCAAAGAGAAAACACTTGGACGTGTAATCCAGCAAATACCATTAATAGAGCTTGTGATCACGGAAAAGACAAAAACGATATCATTGCAGATTAAAGTGAAGAACGAGTGGTTTTTGACTATATGTTTGTATAAATTTAAATTACGTTATAGAACATCATATAATCATAAACAGAGAATCCCATGATTTCTTAGTCCAATGATTCCAATTTCTTAATCCCATGATTTGAATTATTTGAATGTTCATGAATTTATCCGGTGATGTACATGGATGTCACCTAAAGACGTTTTCCCTCTTGATGAAACCAGTCTTTCCTTTCATCTCATGCCTTAAAATGCTTAACCTCTAAAGACCAAGTACTGATGAAATGGATTGAACTGGATTATTAAGTTGCGGCAAAGCAGTTCTATTCCTAAAAAGGCTTCATAAAAAACTTTCTAAGGGAAACCAGCTGGCATACACGTTACAATGAGAAAAACCACGAAAACGCCCATGCAACCAGCCCGTTTTCGAACTACCAGTGTTCAGCAACTTTACCGCTTGGACGTTGCTGGCTTTATGGAATAGAAGGCGAGAAATTTATTTAAAATGAATGTCAGAAATACCAAGATGTTTCGAAAACTTAGATGCTTTTTAATATGCTTGCAGAATGTCTGAAGAAAAGAGCAAGCCATTAAGAAGAAAAAAATTAATTTTTGCACAAAATTAGATTTTTTTTAAATTTAAAACTTTTTAATCTTATGATATTTGATTCTTGCGATTTCAAAAATAAAATATTTGACTAAAATATGAATAACATTTTAAGAAACTAAATGTAGGATGATAAAATCATGTAAAGCAATGAGCATAATGTTAAAGCTATTTAAAGCAATATATGCAAGTCATCCTAAGTTAAAATGTTGGTTATACATCTTTCTCACTTATATATTTTTTCTGAACGGAACACTGAAAGGCATGTTAACTGTATTTTCTCTTTTAATATATTCAGTTTTCAGATGCATCGTAGTCTGGGACACAAAGTATTCTTCGGAAAGAAACGCAATTCAAATAAAATAAAATCCTGGAAAATTTATATTAATAAATATATTTTAAATGCTCAGTTCGAATGAAAAAATAGTAAATTTGAGAGACAATGCAACACAAACAATTAAAATAAAAGTCTAAAAATTTAAAAAATTACCTAAAATAATAACTGTGACAAAATATATATATATATTATATAAAGAAAACTATTTGAAAAAAAAAAAATAAACAATGCATTTAAACTACGCGGTTCGAATGGCTAAATAGAAATTTTTAAATCGGTTATTCCAAAGAAACCATGCAACTTAAAGAATTAAAATGAAATTCGAAAAAGGAAAAAAAAAATATTTAAAATAATAGCATAAAAATATAATATAAAGAACATTATTTGAAAGAAAGAACGTTGTGATTTTTTTTTTCCTCTCACAGAAAAAGAAAATAGGTTGCCATATATTAAGAAGTTCGCCAAGTGAACTCTTCTTGGCACAACTGAAAAAAAAAAAGCGCCAACATAAACTTGTGAATTTCTCCGTAAATTTTTCACCAAATTTTACAAAATTTCACATTTGGGCATAATTTGAGTTGCAGAATCGAAATATGTAAAAAAATTGGCATGTTATTTCAGATAAAGTCTGATTTTGTGTCAAAACACCTATGTTACAATAGTGCTATACAGTCAAAAGTCGTTAATTCGGACACCAATAATTCGGAATGATCTATAATCCGGACATCAAAACTAAAAACTTTCTGCGCATGCGCCGCGTTGACACATGCGCAGAGGCGTTCACGCGTGCGCGTAAGACCTTTTACGACTGCGCATATGAGTGTGCGCAAGTGCAGAATACGTGTTTTCGCGTGCGCATTTTATGTATAATGGACGTATAAGCTAAATAATTATCTATTTCAGTTAATGTTGATGATTGCGTTGTTCCTTAATTTTCGAATTGCATCCGGCTTATTATTTTTTGCAGACTGTAAGAGCAATTTTATAAAAGTAAGCTTAAACTTTCGATTATATCAAATAGAATTTCCGATATATATTTGTTAATATGTAAAGGATCTAAAGCGAAAGTATGTTTTGAAATCCGAAATCTGTTTATCATTTTCACGCTGCTCGGCGGCGGGCGCGTAATGAATTGGAAGTTGGTTTGTCAGCACTATCCTTAGATTTGGGCCAAAGAAATCCCTCATGTTATCTTATCTTCAGCGCAGATGTTTTTATTTTATTTTGCTTATAATTCCTTACCAAATGTAGTATTTCATCTCGATATGCTCCGTCTTTGATATGATTTAAAACAAGTTCCTCGTCATTATAATTCGCTTCCGATAGCGAAGAAAAGTGACAGAGGTTATTGAAAGCAAAAAAATTTCGATTGACAAATTAGTCGGTGTTCTTGACACAGCAATTATAGGACTTGAACGGCGGAACTGAACAAGAAATTATGTCTGTTTAATAGAATTAAAGAGAAAGTATTATCACATGAAACGAAAGCAAAACTTAACTTAAACAACTTACATTGAAAGAAATGTTTAATAAAGTAAACAAATAAATATTAAGCTTTTTCTTTTTGCAAATTTTGATACCCTTTAGATCATAATTGTTCTTTATTTCATAAATTACGGTTTCATATTTTTAATTTTGGAATTTCTGCATGCCATCTTACGAGATTTAAACTGATGATCTATAATCCGGAAAAATCGATAATCCGGAATCGCCGAAGTCCCGACGAGTCCGGATTAACGACTTTTGACTGTATATAAATCTAAAATATATCCTAAGTCGCGCTTTGGAGATATGAAGAATGCAATTTGAATTTCGTCAATCAGCCCAGTAGAACGAAAGCTATAGAACTGTCCTCCCCTCTTTTTTTGCGCACTGTACTTATGTGCTTTAAATTACCACACTAGCTTATATATACCAAAAAAAAAAAGTAGAATGACAATTTTGTGCAGCCTTATCTTTAAAATATATATTAAAGTAATTGTTACTCTTCAGCAGCATTTTTTTTTGAACAGTTAGATTAAATCAAATATTCTCCCTTTAAAAACTAACAAACTGAGCTTATAAAGTATGCATGCATCCTCGTCCTAATACATTAAATCCAGAATCATTCTGTATTTGAGCCAGTGAAACTATACAAGATTAATATTCTATAGTACATTTCCTTTTAAATCTTTTCTAAAAATATACATTTTTTAATGGTTTATATTTTCATATTGGTTTTTAATACTTGAATTTCCTTAAAATGTACCGTAAAACTATATTCTCATCTGCTTGATAAAATTCTAGAAAGTTCCTTCGTATCTAATACAAGTAATTCTTATTTCATTAAAAGATATGTCTTAAGTATGTGAATATAAATTTAATGAAAAATCAGATGCCAATTAGGGATGAAATTTTTATTTTCCAAACATATCTTTCATGGAGAACAATCCAGTATGATTCAATAGTACACCAACTACAAGTAATTACTATGAATGGTAGATATGCATCCATTAACAGTAATTACAACTTCACATCCAACAAAACTCCACAATACGTACAAATACATAAGTGCTGAAATCATGGCTTATCATTCTTGAAACCAATTAGCCATATGAATCAAAACACGAAGAAAAACATTTTAAACACACAAAAGGGCAGAAATATAAAACACACTAATTTAAAATGATAATTCTAAAATATTTTAAGGAAAAACATATCAGGATAAATAAATGTTATGTGAACAGTCAAGAAACATATGAAGAGATAAACCACTTTTTAAAAAATTTACTTTTTAATCTTAAATATGAATGGTACAATGTAACCAAAAAGTCATGTGAAGAGTCAAATGTCCTTTCAATCAACTGGAACAGTTTAACTTTCACATTATTTTGTATTTGTGGCACACAGCACAGTATAATTCTTATTTCATAAAAAGCAGCTTTGGACAACTGCGCAAAATTACATGTGAGAATAAAAAGGGTGACAGAAACTAAAACTAGGCATATAGTCATTGAATAATATCACTAAAACAAGCAATAAAAGATGAATTAAATACCAAATTTGTATTCTGATAATAATGCATAAATTAAAAATACCACAGGAGTTCAGTTGTCTAATTTTATAAATTTTTGATATCAGCTAGTTTGAAAATTTAAATTATATTTAATAAAATACGCATATGAAACTGAAATAGTAAAGGCCTTCTTTTTAGTCAGAAATATATTCCTCTGTCGGAAAAATGTTAGAATTACTTTAAGGAGTAAAAATTTTAATCGGTGTAATTTATTTATTTGTTGAGAAATATATGTAGTTTTTCAGTCCTATGATTATATCAAATGGTATTCTTTTTTAAGTTAATTCAGATAACTGAGGTCTTATAGTATAAAGTTTCAAAACATTTTATGTCTTGTCTTACTTGATGTTCAAATACTCACAATAAATACTGCTCTTTAAAACAGTTTTTAATAGAATGCTAATATAATTTCATTAAAGTGTTACATAACTTGTTTCAGATTACTGAAATATACTTTTGATTGAGTACTGGATAAATAAAGAACACAAGCAAAACATTTTAATTTCCTTTTTTAAATTAACATCTGAAAAAAACTTTATCCTTTTACCAAGATTTGAACTAAAAATTATACATGAAGGTGCATGTTTCTATCCCATTGTGTAAATATATTGAATATATTTGAGTGCTGATTTCCTTTTATAGTAAAATAATGGAATTTATTAAAGCCTTTACATAAAGCTATACACTAAACAATTCATCAACTAATGCCCTTTCAAGCTGTTCCTTTTCACTAGAAATAAAATGTATAGTTTTTATTTATACTATGATTATTTTGCACATTAAAATATGTATAAATTTTATGAGGATTTTTTTATTATTATTAAAGACAAAAATTTAGAATACACCTTCACAGATTTAATTAGATTTATGAAAAACTGTACTGGTTTTAATCCATGTTACTGCATTGCCAGAGTGGCACTTTTCAGAAAATGCAATAATGTTTTTAGATGCTATTAAATTAACTACTAGTTTTGATATGATACTGGAATTTTAAGATTACTTTTCTCAAAATGCAGATGCATTTAGTTACTAAAATAAATTTTTAAAATTTGTTATAAGATGATGTAAAAATTGCAAATAGTCTTGAGGTAATGAAAATGCAGATCAATACAAAATTATTTTTAAATATAGATGTTTAACAGTTTCCAAACAGCACAGAATTGCAATCAGAGATCTATTTTTTAGATGCTCTGACACCTTCCAACCTTTGGATTCTTTTTTGTTTTATAGATAAAAAGAAAATCTGCACAATATATTCAGAAATTCAATAAACAAATACGCTCATATTTAATAATTTCTACATTTCTCTCCATGTATTAGACAAATTAGTATAGTGATATGCCTTGTTAAAAAAATTACGCTTTTTATATATATTGAACATGTATGAAGTAAATTCCATTACAACACATTAGCTATTTTCATAAATCACATCTAACAATATTTTTAATCTTCCATCTTTTTGTATTCATAGAAAAATACATAAAACCGCATTAGCACCAAAACAAAATTTAAACAAATCTATAAAAATAGGCAAGCAATAACCTCAAAATTAGAACTTTTATTGGGGGGGGGAATTAATTCAGATGCTTACTTAATAAATTAAGCCAGAAATGAATTTATAGTTATCTATTAAAATGAAAAGCATGTAAAAATATATTTAATGCACAAAATTCAAAATTGAGATGATAAAAGCTTCTGAGCAGAATATACAGATTGCAATCCTATAATGTAATTAAACAATGCCCTTTAATCCCATTAACAATATAATGATAAACTGCTAAAATGTTCAAAAAGAGGAGAAAGAAAAGACTAGAATGCACCCTTTAAACAGTCATTTGTTTAAGATAGTTGTAAACGTAATTCTCACAATATCTGCTCTGAAGTAATGTAGCAACCGGTACATCTCCTGTGTCATTCGGATGCTAGAGGATGTCTTGCCTGCAATTAGTGGTCATGGAGCGACGCTTTTGTAGTGATTGGGGCAAGCTCTGCGTTGGATGATGGACGAGTGTTGGCGAGACAATGACAATAACAAGCACGCCTTCTCGTCCACACTGGTATGAGTGGGTCAAGTAATTTGACCCTTGCTTGCATAGAGATGAAACTGGACCTCGCACAGGAGGTACTGGATAGTTAAATCACACCCATGGGGTCCAGCCTTCATACAGAACTGCTAGATTTTCCAGGTCGGTAGCCTCCTTAATGACGAAGTCAACCTAAGAACCAAAATACATTACAGTTTTGCAAGTGACAAATTCACATTTTCTGTATTCATAAATTACTATACTCGAAAATACACACTACTCTTAAAATTATATATATTAAAAATAATATTTACAGAAGACTGCAAATGCCATTAGATAAAATAAATAATGGATTTATTAAAAAAAGGCAAGTTAACAACTTAATTAATGGTTTTAAGAACGAATGTTTAAAAAAGCTGATCTGTACAGCACGACTTCCTTGTATGAAATATTAAATTATACACACTTTTTCCTGCATTTCATTTACATATTGCTTTGAATTTCATTAGAGATATATTTCTCATAATTCAGTTCTCACTTCACGACAAAGCAAAAATACATAAAAACTCAAAATCCTATATTCAAAATTGAAAGGTATAGAAAAACATAAAACACTAAATACAGTTAAAACAATTAAAAAAATTACAATTATAGTTTCTATGCAAAAACAAGCAACTCGGGCATCGGTTAAGAAGGCAATAATTTTGTGCATAAAACTGGTCTCACTCGTCAAAATGACACCGAAGGCGTAGAAACCAGGGCTGTGGAGTCGGTAGGTAAAATGACCGGCTCAGACTCCTGGAATTTTAATGACTCCGACTCCTTCATATACAATGGTGGCCAAAATTGTGGACACTTTTGGAAATTTTTATGTTTTTGAACTTTGTATGCTTATAGAAAACTGATACGTTTCACAAAATGCAAACTTGTATATATCATTTAAAGAGAATTTATTACTGAATTCAAAACAAAAACATAAAAATCAATTATGCAATACAAAAAAAGTTAAACAATAGTAGTTATCGATATACATTAGATCAGTTTTTCCCAACCTTTTTGTGCTATCCTCTCAAATTTTTAAGCTCCCTCTAACATATACATAATTTTATATAAAAATTGAAAAGTCACGAACGAAAACTTAATGATAGCTTTTCGGAAAAAGGACTACGAATTTGTGAGCAAACACAGTAAGTGTACTTAAAAACACAGAGAAATGAAATTCAGAAAAAACTCATTTAGTGAAAGTTTTTCATTTTAAGTATTAGTAATTTTTATTATTTAAATTAAGTGAGTTCCTTGCGCTTGATACTTGGCAAAGAAATTTATGTCAGGTTCCAATTTAGATAACTTGAGTCTCAAGTCTGCCGGTTTCATTATATCCAACCAATTCTTTTTTTTTTTTTTTTTTAGCAGCAAATCATTATGGCACCACATCAGCAAAATATAAGATGGAAGTGGTAACAATAGTCTCTTGCAAATTTTGTGCATTTGGATATCTGATTCTAGTTTCCTCACAAAGCTATGTCATCGCCTTTTATTTAAACAAAGTTTAATTGATGATCATTTTGCATTTCTGCGAATCTTTTTACTGCATATTGAACTATCAGCCAAATCCACTAGCATGGCTGCATCATCCAAGTTGGGAAATCAATTTGTTTAAGTTACAAAATCTTTAAATCAGCCGATAAAATTTTCAGATGATCTACAAAACAAGTATAGTGGTAGTCACGTCATATTTTGGGAGCCAATGGACTTTTCAAAATTTGTGGTAAATATATATGCCTGACATAATTCAACAAAGATAATGAAACAAATATATTTTTTGCATCGACATAATTTATTTCCCTTCAAGTTGTTTATTTAATATATTTAATTTTTAAAAGATATCGGCTAAATAACCCACAATTGCCTGTTATCATCGTTAACGGATTTTTTCATTTAGGTTTTGCGCTTATAAAATAACTAAGTATCAAATAGTTCCATAAATCTTTCCAAGCAGTCCCTTGACAGCCTTCTTACTTCAGTGTGAAGTACAAGTCTCATATAGTCTTCATTTTGTTCTCCATAAAATAACTTGAAAAGACATTCGCATTTGGCCCTAATTTTAATAGCATTGATTCACCTTATAACTGAATTTAGTACTTCATTTAGAACAGGTGAATTGTTTTTAACTACCAGGTTTTCTCTATGAATAACACAATGCACAAGAAGCATTCCTGGATTCTCATCTTTTATCAATTTTAAGCAACCCCATTTTCTTATTCCCTGCATTATTTTATTTTTCAACCCTATTATTAGGAGCACCATCTGCAGTACAAGATGTATTATATTTTTTATTAGTATATTTTTTAGCTTACTATAAATATCTTTGGAGGTAGTGGTGCTTTCTAATGATTTACAGAAGAATATTTCTTTGGCAAAATCCCCTTATGAATATATTTACATAGTTACAAGTACGCCTCACTGTCTCTCAAAGTTGGTTCATCCATTTGCATCGAAAAATTTTTTTCAGCTTTTCAACAAGTTGTATTTCAATATCCTCATTTAATCTTTCTTCTGCAAACAGTATTGTTATTTAGTGGCATAGCTTTAACGTCATTGTCATCTTTTTCTAGAACAGTTTTAAATGCTGATATTGATGGTTTGATTGAATTCTCCTCTATAGTAAGGCTTTTTTAAGATTAAGCGATGAGTAATGAAATTTGATAAATAGCCTCAAGAGCATGATTAACAGTTGCATTATGAGCAGTAAATAGAGACTTTAATATTACTTTTTTTTCAAAAAAATTCCTTAAAGTATGAAAATAATTCAAATCTGAATTAATATCAGCATTATGTTTCACCTTCAAATGTGCCTCAAGACGACCTAGTTTCATTGATTCGTTGGTCAGGCATTATTGGCATAAAAGACAAAAGTTGACCATTTAATGGACCAGGTATAAAACCAAATTTTAAATATGCCTCCAAACACTGTCGAACGTTTTTTTCTTGCTTGCACCCCTCATTTCACTAAGGGCTGAAAGAAATAAATATAATATCAATATAAACAAAGCTGAAAGCAGCTACTGTTGCCATTCAAGGAAAGAATAATATACTGGTTGCCATTTTTACAGTAAAAAATAAAATAAATTCGTTGGCTAAAATGTGCGAGAAACGTCTGGAAAGCATAATGTGTCAGTTATTTAAATGCCTTTAAAAGCATTTAAATGTCCATGTCTACAGCGAGAATTCTTTATAAAATATTTAAAATGCACCACAATTTAAAAACTTTTTTACGTATACATCACTTATATTTTTCTTTATTTGGAAATAAAAATGAAATTTCGAAAAATTTTGACTTCATGAAACATATTTAGAACGTCCTTTGTCCCCCTTAAACTCTACACAAGTCTATTTTCGAATGCCCCCCCTTAACAGTCGCATTAAGAGAACACGCATAGACAGTGATGAGTGCAGTGAGTTATCAGTACTTGGTAGGGTACCCTTATTTTGATACAGCTTCACATCGAACGTTTCATTGAGCTGACAAGAGTTTTAAGCTCTTTTTTCATTATTAATGATGCCAGGAAACAATTATAGCCTCAATAGTTCCCTTTTATTGATGGGCGCCTCATTCGGACAAGAGGTTCAAACGGTGTGCCCAAAAATTTCGATAGAATTGAGATCAGGACTGTTCCTGGCCATGACAAACAATTTAATGCTCTTTGTACGAAACCACTGTTTCGATATTTTGAACCGTTGTGTGGCAGGAGCAGAATCCTGCTGAAATGTAACGAAATTATTGGGAAAGAAATCTTTGATGGAAGGTAGAAGTTTTGGTTCTAGAATAGTGTCAATGTATTTTCTGGCATTCAGGTCCCATAGATGACATGAAGGCGACCAATAGCATCTGCTGACATGCATGACTAATCATAACACTAACTGGGTTCTCACAGTTGCTTGAAGCAGTCAGGATGTAGCTCTTCTCCTATTCTACGTCTTACATATTTTCGCCCATCACTAAATAACGATATCTTAGTTCATCCTCCATATAACTTGTGACCACTGATATCTGTCCAATTACTGTGTTCCTTTGCCACTGTAGTCTTTTTTTTCGTTACTGAAATTAAGATAAGGCTTTTTTTTTGTGGAATTCTACCTCTTAGACCACATCTGTTAATCTTCTCCTGATTGTTCTTAACTGTCAAAACACCAGCATCATACAGATACTTCTGATGACCGCTGAGGACATTTTTCTATCTGGGACATAGTCTAGTCTTTTTATCTTCTGTCATCAATAGATCTGGTGCACCTTTTTTCGGCCTTTTCCTCTTTGTTTTTATTGAATTTGTCTCCTGATATCGTAAACAAAACTTTCGGACTCCAGATGTCACTGAACCACCCACCTGTCTTGCAATTTCAGCATAGGAAAGACCACTTTCTCGTAACACAATAACATTACATCTCTTTCTAGGTGTCCAATCTACTCTTTTATTTGATGTCATTGCTTCTTGACTAAATATTAAAAATTTTTACAAAAATTCCTACTTGTAATTGCAGTGTATAAGAAACAGGTTCTCCTACAGAACAAAGCAAAATAATGAATTGTTTCAAATGTAAATATGATGTCAGCTTCTACTGGCAGTTACCAATATTTGATTAATTCTCAGAACAAGAACAGTGATTGGGCAGGAAAGCTAGACATTACAAACCACTTCATAACTGTGTTTTTTATTTATATTAAAGTACATATAACTTTTTTTTGTATTGCAAATAATTGAATTTTGTGTTTTGTATTGAATTCAGTAATAAATTCTCTTTAAAATGATATATACAAGTTTGCATTTTGCGAAACGTAACATTTGCTATAAGCACACAAAATTCAAAAACATCAAAATTTCCAAGTGTCCACAATTTTGGCCACCACTGTATATGCAAACATATACACATGGGTACAACTTATTTTTTTAATGTAAAAGAAGTAATAGATGCTACAGAAAAAAACTGATGGATAGCAAATTTTTTATATTAATTAGCATTTATTATGAAATGGAAAAATTGGCATTAGTGATTTCTAAGAAACAGGAAAACTTTGGCAAGATCTTCTTGTTAGAGGACCATAGATCCGATTTGATAAACTTCAGAACTGAGAAGAGTCTTTCCACACTAACTTGAGTAGGAAGAAGAGCCATTACTGTTAGGGCTACTTCCTT